CCGCCGCGTCGTAGGCCCCGGCCAGGGCGTAGTGCTGCTTCCTCAGCTCGCCCAGGCGCACCCGCTCACCCTCCAGGCGCTTCTCCAGCTCCAGCACCTTCACCTGCACCCAGACAGCCATCTTGGACCCTGCGCACCCCAGGGGTGCCACCCCCGCCGCCATCCCCAGCACCGCGCTGGGGGGTGTGTGTGCAGAAGAAGGGATCCCCACCTTGCGCGGGGTCCAGATCAGGACCTCAGCCTGGACATACCTGTGTTTCCATCTCTTCCTTCTTCAGCTTGATGAGGGACATGCCCGAAAAGTCCATGGTGTCTGTGGGGAAAAGCAGGTGGCTCTCGCAGTGTGGCACCTCGGGGTGTTCACTAGGCCAGAAAGGGATGTGGGGTGGGTTTTTTCTCCCCTTTCTTCGTAAAAATCTCACCTTTCTCCTCGATCTGCTCTTGCCCCGACTTGGTGGAAGCCACCACGTTGGCCGCCATCTCGTTGACATTGCGCGAGCACTCCTGGAGTCGGCCCAGGTTCCTGCTGCTCTTCTCGGCTTTCACCTGCAAAGAGCACGGGGACGGCTGTGGGTCCCCATCACGGCACCTCCGCGCGGGCTCAGGGGAGCCCCCAGGCAGCCATATTCTGCGTGAGAGCAGAGACACCGATTGCACCATGTCAGAACAGTCCTCGGGCGTGAAAACCCCCAGGGGTGAAAAAGGACGGACAGTTGGACACATGTTTATTCTTGATGATCCCATCAAGGGTGACCCCTGCAAGGCCCTTCAGCCACCAAACCAGCTCTGCCAAGCACACATGGATAAGCAGCATTGGTGAAGACAGAGCTATTTTTTTTTTTTTTTAACCATGTTCTTAGTTTTAAAACCATCTGCTGTAAAAAGCACTATGCGTCCTCCCCCCCCCCAGCCTACACCCCCATTTGCTCATTGAAACCTCTACACATCGCTTTTGCCCACACCAACAGGAAAGGTGGCAAGGACCAAAATCCATCATTCCCAGTGCTGGCTCCTGCAGTTGCTTATTTGGGGTTTCTTGTTAGTTATTAACATTTTCTTTACATAATCAGCTTGACAGGAGGAAGATGGGAGGTTTTACACATCTTCATTTCTGAGGCAAGCCCTGCTAGGTGTGGGAATATTAATGCAGGTGAAGACACACAGATTAAAATTATTTTCAAGTCAGTCTGTGATAAGAGCTTCGCCTCCTCCCTGCTCCGGGAGGAGGCTGCAGGACTGGCGACAGGACGGCCACACACTGCTGCCCGAAAGCATCCGTGGGACAACACCGTGGCAAGAAAATGACTTAAAACTTGACGAGCCGCGTGCAGACAGTCCTGCTGGGACACTCACCTTGGAGGCAGCCACCAGCTGAGCCGTGCTGGCGGCGATTTCATGGGAGCAGACGATCAGTTCTTCATATTTGCCCGTATGCAGGACGACTCTGTCTGCTGACTCCCTGCGTTACGGATCAGAAGGGAGATCGTGTTAGAGATACTCGCCGTGCACTATGAAGCAAGTGCAGGTTATTTACCTCCTGCTATACCCTTAGAAATCAGTATCAGACCTTGAACCAGCAGCTTTGCCTGTAATTATTTAAAGCTCATTTACAAAGCAATTACTCAAAGCCCAGATCCAGAAGTTTTGGATGAGTGTAAAATATCATCGAAGGCGGGATTGTGCTTCCATAATGAAGTGGACGAGATTTTTAAAGCTTTGTCCAAAACAGCCCCTGCATTTCCTGCACTGGCACGGGGATGCCCTGCCCCGATGCCAACCACCCCGACCACGACCATCTGAGCAGCAACCAGGACACAAAGTATTTGATTGCAGCAATTTTCACATTTTGCAAACAGGGAGAACTGGCAGATCCCTGTTTTGGTGACCGTGTGGTCTGACCCAGGCCATGATGCTCTATCACGAATTAGCCGTAATGCTCCACACAGACTCAGCAGCGGGACAGTTTGGGTTATCGGGCAATGGAGAAGTGTGGGCCAGCCCCGAGCACAGCACACAGAGCCGAGCCCGGAGAGGAGCCTCCTGCGGCGGCCGTGGGAGAGGTCCCGGGGGTACCTACACGAGTTGCGTGGCTCCCCAGCCCACCGCCTTGGAGGCAGAGATCAGCCCTTCGGTCCAGCGCGAGTTCTTGGCATAAAACTCCTGAGTTGTTGCTGCCCCCTGTTGTTAGGAGAATATTACAGCCTGTATTAACTTGTTTCTAATATACAACAATATACAAATCCGTAAATCCATATAAAATATCCATATAAAATATAACAATATATAAATTCATATATAAGCCATAAATCAAGGGATTGGCAGCATTTCTGTGTCGTTCAGGCCGCTCTTACTGGCCTGCTTAAACACAGATCGAGAATAACTTTGGAGCCCCAAAGTCTGCAAATTTGGTCTGGGTTTAACACACACAAGTTTGGGCTGTCGTCTTTAGATGGACAAGGCTTTGCAAAGGTGACAGCAATGTCTGCAGAGCACAGGGCTGAGCAGCCCGTCTCCAGCGAGCGAGACTGCCAGAGTACCACAATATGGGAAAGCACAAAATTCAGCCGGTGTTTCTGCAAATTGTGAGAAATGCTCCCATATTTCATGTCGGTGCAGAGACACGAGTGTAGGGGAGGACTTATAGGGGAGGACTTACCCGGCCACTTTCCACTATTTCCTTCTGTAGGTTCGTAGATGTCATTACAAGAAGTCTAATAGCCTGGAAAGAAGAAAAACAGGTTTCGGTGTTTGATGGGGATTTTATAGAGAAGGATTGATGCTGCCGATGGTGGGAAGTTACAGTTTTGCACAGTCTTGATGCCCCAGCTAGGTTTCTGCAGTACTGACCTTCATTAGGTCCGTGCAGGAGTTCAGAATCCTATAGGGAAACAAGAGAAAAGTGTTCAGCATCCTCTCACGCCGCGTCCAAGGAAGCAGGCTTTGGTCTCAGTTAGAAAACGGGTCTTTTTTGGAGACCGGCCAGCCTGCAGGTTACTTCTAAGCAGCCCACAAATCAGCCGCAAACAATTGGCTTAGACGTGCAAGATGAAGGTCCACCCTCCTGAAGAGGATTTTGTGCTCAGCATCAGGATGATGCAGCACTGGGGTTGCACGTGCAGCTTTGGAGGAAAGCACAGAAACCTGCCCGCGGCTGTCCCACGCCAACCCTTAAAACTCACCGCTCATTCACTTCAAGCTTAACACCGGAGCTCTTGTTTCTGGCCTGGCTCATCATCTCCTGTTGGGAAACGCAAGAGGAAGGGCTAGACACATCACTGGCTGTGATGGTGAGCGGGGTGGAGGAATGGACAGTGCTGCCCCAAGGCACAAAATGGCCCGTCCTGCAGCTTCGTCTCACCTCTATCCGCCTGACGGCATCCTCAATCGCCTCTGAAGTGGAGGCCATCTCCTTCTCAACCATGTCCCCCAGCTCTTCTTGCTTGATGTCTAAGCTCTTGGGCCTCAGCTCCTGCCGGAGGAGGCAGCAGCCGCCAGGAGGTTTTAGGCAGAGGGAAAGAAGGGAATATTTGTAAGGAATAACACCAAACCAAAGTATCCGACTCCTTTTTTTCCCCCTAAATAAATAAAGCTGCAGAAGCAGACCGTGAGGGGGGAGGCACGTGTGCCACCAACTTGCAGCAAACATGGCAGAGGGACCTCAGAGGTAAGAAACAGCCCAAATCAATGTGACAAAACTTGATCACAGGAGCAGTTTCAGTAGGGCAGGGCTCCAGAGGGTTCTGGAGAGCTGACAGCCTTCAAATTAACAGCAGTTTAATGTAAAAGACTAATGGGGGCTTCAAGAGAAGAAATATCTGAAAGTTGGGAAGTTTTATGCCATAGGGGTTAATTGGGTTGAAAGACTTCAGCTGATCTGAGGGTGCACCACCAGGAAGGGTCTCGGTGCTCGGAAGCTGAGATGGCTCAAGGAAAGCACCAGAGCCTGTGGGTATGGGGGACAAGCCATCCCAAAGTGCTCACTCCAACCCAGTGTTTCCAATTTCAACTCTGGACAATGGGGAAATCCATAGTATTTTTTTTTTTTTTTAAAAAAAAAAAAAAAGTTGTCCATTGAGGTGCAGCCAGAAGTCTGCGAGCAGACAGCCCACCTTGACAAACGGAGGCAACGTCCTTCTGCGTTAACTGCCTGCTTTGATTTTTCCTTTAGGAAATACCAATCCCAGTAAATAACCCACCCTGCCAGCCCCAGGTGAGAAAGTGGGTGCGCTGGGCTCCATTCCCCTCCCTGGGCCAGCTGCAGGACCCCCCGTAGCGCCCGCCGCACGTCCCCCAGCTCGGCGCGCCCCAGCGTCTGCTTGTCCTTCAGCTCGCCCAGGTAGTCCAGGCTCCGCTGCCCGCAGTCCCGGCACGTCTCTGTCAGTCCTGGGGAGAGGATGGGTCGGGTCCCCCACCCCAGCCCTGCCACCCTCCTCTTCCTCCTCCCCTTGGCCACAGAGATGGTGCTAAGCATCGGCAGCATCCAGCACATTTCTTGCAGAAGAGCATAAATCGGTTTCCAGGAGCAAAGCGATGTTCCTGGCCCAGGAAGGGGCACCGGAGAGGAGGCAATGTCGGGAAGGGGAGCATGGGGACCTGAGGGGACCCTGCTGCCCCCGGGGAAGATCTGCCCCATATCCAGCCCCTGGCGGAGGGGGCTTCGGCATGGCCACCCCAAAACAAGCCCCACGAGCAAAAACCACCCCCAACACCTGCCGCCTCCACACAGGGCACTCACGGTCAGCGTGGTCAGTGGGAGCCAGGTGGGACGTGGCGCTGCCGTTCACGATGGGGTCGGCCGTCAGGGGTGCAAAGACGG